GGGGGCTCCAGAGTATCCGGGTCTCGTTGTAGGGGGGCTCCTGAGTATCGGGGTCTCATTGTAGGGGGGCTCCTGAGTATCCGGGTCTCATTGTAGGGGGGCTCCTGAGTATCCGGATCTCATTGTAGGGGGGCTCCTGAGTATCCGGGTCTCATTGTAGGGGGGCTCCTGAGTATCCAGGTCTCATTGTAGGGGGCTCCTGAGTATCTGAGTCTCATTGTAGGGGGCTCCTGAGTATCCGGGTCTCATTGTGGGGGGCTCCTGAGTATCCGGGTCTCATTGTAGGGGGGCTCCTGAGTATCCGGGTCTCATTGTGGGGGGCTCCTGAGTATCCGGGTCTCATTGTAGGGGGCTCCTGAGTATCCGGGTCTCATTGTGGGGGGCTCCTGAGTATCCGGGTCTCATTGTAGGGGGGCTCCTGAGTATCCGGGTCTCATTGTGGGGGGCTCCTGAGTATCCGGTCTCATTGTAGGGGGCTCCTGAGTATCTGAAGGACAGAAATATCAGAAAAGTCTTCATATTGGAGGAAGGTGAGGAATCCAACAAGGAAACCTCTGAGGATCTGGTGGCCACCATCACACATTCCATGGATAACCTCCGCAGAGGACAGGTTCTCTTCGCCGCGCTCCCCCCCAGTCAGCCAACATGGCGGTGCGGCGTGCGTTCACTGAGAGACTCATCACCTCTCCACGGGAAGGGATGATCAGAGATTAGAGAGATTCTCCGACAGGTTCATTGCCGCCGGCCGTGCTTTGATCTGTTGCATCGTTTGCATTTATTGGGCCACACATGGCGACGCTCAGAGGCTGCGCGCAATTCTGCTGCCGCTGTAAAAGCCGAGCGTGAAAACCCGTCTTCAGGCGGCGATAACGACCGCGGCTCACCTGGATTATCTTCATATCTCAGTCCAGTAGATAAAGAGGACCTGTCAGTAACATTATGTCTGCAGGAAGAAATCCGGACATGTCACCAAATACAGCAACAGGATCTCATCACAAAACACCAGAGCGGGCGGGAAGTGGGGTGAGCGGTGTGGGTGAGCAGCTGGCGGCAGTAGGGTGAGCAGCATGGCAGGCAGTGGGGTGAGCAGCGTGGCGGGCAGTGGGGTGTGCAGCGTGGCAGGCAGTGGGGTGAGCAGCGTGGCAGGCAGTTAGGTGAGCAGCGTGGCGGGCAGTGGGGTGAGCAGCGTGGCAGGCAGTGGGGTGAGCAGCGTGGCAGGCAGTGGGGTGTGCAGCGTGGCAGGCAGTGGGGTGAGCAGCGTGGCAGGCAGTGGGGTGAGCAGCGTGGCAGGCAGTGGGTGAGCAGCGTGGCAGGCAGTGGGGGTGAGCAGCGTGGTGGGCAGTGGGGTGAGCTGCAGGGTGAATGATGGGGCAGAGCAGTGTGGTGAGCAGTGTGGTGGGCAGTGGGGTGATCAGCATGGCGGGCAGTGGGTGAGCAGCGTGGCAGGCAGTGGGGTGAGCAGTGGTGTCAGGCAGTGGGGTGGGTGGTGGGGGTGAGCAGTGTGAGCATGGTGGGCAGTGGGGTGGGTGTGGCAGGCAGTGGGGGGTGAGCAGTGTGGCAGGCAGTGGGGTGGGTGGTGGGGTGAGCAGCAGGGTGGGTGGGCGATGGGGTGAGCAACGTGGCGAGCAATGGGGTTGGTGATGGGGTGAGCAGCGTGGCATGCAGTGGGGTGGTTGGTGTTGTGAGCAGTGTGGTGAGCAGCATGGGTGGGCAGTGGGGTGAGCAGTGTGGGTGAGCGATGGGGGTGAGCAGCGTGGCGAGCAATGGGGTGGGCAGCGTGGCGATGGGGGAGGGCAGCGTGGCGAGCAATGGGGTGGGCGATAGGGTGAGCAGCGTGGGGGGCAGTGGGGTGAGCAGCGTGGCGGGCAGTGGGGTGGGCGATGGGGTGAGCAGTGGGGGGGTGGGGGGATGGGGTGGTGTGTGTGGGAAGTGGGGGGGACGATGGGGTGGCAGTGTGGCGGGCAGTGGGGTGAGGGCATGGCGGGCAGAGGGGTGAGGTGGGGGGTGTGGCGGGCATTGGGGTGAACAGGGGGTGGGTGGTGGGATGGGCAATGGGGGGTGAGGTGTGGTGAGCAGCGTGGGGGGCAGGTGGGGGGGGCAGTGGGCGAGCAGTGGGGGTGCAGCGTGGCGAGCAGTGGGGTGGGCAGTAGGGTGGGCGGTGGGGTGGCAGTGTGGCGGGCAGTGGGGTGAGCAGCGTGGCAGGCAGAGGGGTGGGGCGGTGGGGTGGAGCAATGTGGCGAGCAGTGGGGTGGGGGGGGGGGGGGGGGGGGGGGGGGGGGGGGGGGGGGGGGGGGGGGGGCTTTTTCTTTGACATTTTTTGATCATTTCAGCAACAGGTACAGCTGGTCTCCGGATAGATTACACAGATGGCGGCTGAAAAAAGGATTTGTATTTCTGTCCATCCAGCCCTGAGATTCACACAGCTCTGCCACAGATCCCAGCCCTGCCTGGCAGGGGGAGGGACATGATTTTCCTCTGTTCAGTAACACTTACAGGTCTTGTCCCTCCTCCAGCCTGTGATTGGGCAGTGAAAGGAGACGCATCAGACTGATGAGCTAATTTCTCTGTCACTCTGCTCTCTCCTCCTATCAGCACGCATCTTGCAGTACATGAACTGATAGGCTCCTTGTACTGCTTCTTGTTCTCACACTCCAGCCCTGCTGTGCTGAAGCTGATACCAGATCCTATTAGGTACTTGCAGGGCTTTTTATTAGCAGGAACACAGTTCTGGCACCTCCAGCACTGAATGTATATAATGGCAAGTTGTGGTGGGGTGTGCTGGAGGATCTATTGTTGCTGGGGGTATTTTTGTGTGGTGCTCTACTGTTGCTGGTGGGGGTCTGTTGTTGCTGGGGAGGTCTATAGTTGCTGGTGGGGGTCTGTTGTTGCTGGGGAGGGTCTATAGTTGCTGGTGGGGGTCTGTTGTTGCTGGGGGAGGTCTATAGTTGCTGGTGGGGGTCTGTTGTTGCTGGGGAGGTCTATAGTTGCTGCTGGGGGCCTGTTGTTGCTGGGGAGGTATATAGTTGCTGGTGGGGGTCTACTGATGTTGTATGCCTGGAGGTCTGTTGGGAGGATTTATTGTTGCTATGGGGGATCAATTGTGACTGGGGGTCCATTGTCGCTGGGGGGATCTATTGTCGCTGGGGGGGTCTATTGTTTCTGGGGGATCTATTGTTGCTGGGAGATCTGTTGTTGCTGGTGGGGGTCTGTTGTTGCTGGGGAGGTCTATAGTTGCTGGTGGGGGTCTGTTGTTGCTGGGGAGGTCTATAGTTGCTGCTGGGGGCCTGTTGTTGCTGGGGAGGTATATAGTTGCTGGTGGGGGGGGTCTACTGATGTTGTATGCCTGGAGGTCTGTTGGAGGATTTATTGTTGCTATGGGGGATCAATTGTGACTGGGGGTCCATTGTCGCTGGGGGGATCTATTGTCGCTGGGGGGATCTATTGTTTCTGGGGGATCTATTGTTGCTGGGGGATATGTTGTTGCTGAGGGATCTATTGTTGCTGGGGATCTATTGTTGCTGGGGGGATCTATTGTTGCTGGGGGGATCTATTGTTGCTGGGGGGATATATTGTTGCAGGGGGATCTGTTTTACCGCTTTTCTTGTTATCATCAACAAATTCTGCACAAATGACTGAGCATCACAAAATAGTCTTTGGCTTTCTTTATCTAAAAGGGACGGTGCTCAGAGGTGGGTAGGGGGTGGAGCCAAGGGATGGTGCTCAGAGGTGGGTAGGGGGTGGAGCCAAGGGATGGTGCTCAGAGGTGGGTAGGGGGTGGAGCCAAGGGATGGTGCTCAGAGGTGGGCCACCCAGCTCCGGTCTCAGCTCCGGTCTCAGCTCCGGTCTGTGTGGTTTGTCCTCTCTAGTATCATGTTTTATTGTTCATAGTCAGGTGAGTGGGCGCCCGGGCTGCCATTGTGCTACATGTTGGGGGTCCGCTGCACTCCTGTAAGAGGGGGGGGCTCCCTGATGTGCACCTGCCCCTGGTCTATCCTTTAAATGCATGTGCCTCTACTATGGGGGGCTCTCACATTTGTAGAGTTAGGACCCCAGAATATCGGGGTGCCGTGACGTGGCTCTGTGGCTCACGTATGTATTTGCACATGTGTGCTAACTAAACCCGTTATAAACGCACACTGCTAGACGGGCTAATTGGGTTGTTGGCGAGTTGATTCTTGAACCCTTTTTAATATTTTCCTTTTTTTACTGTATCATGCGTGGCCCTAAGGGAATGCTGGGGGCCACAGCTGAGGCGCCTTTCTTTCCTAATCGATCTAAACTCTATTTCTGGATTTTTCCTGCAGGCGCTCGATCTGTACCTGTCAATGTTTTCACCCGAACATGTGACTGTTGTGTCTGCGCAAGTCCCAGTCACAGGAGACGAGATATTCCTGGAGGTGAAAATCAGCGAAAATTGTTCCAGATCTCCGAATTAGTCATCAGAGTCAAGGCGCGCGCTCCCGCGCGCGCTCCCCCAAGCCCCGCCTGCATGTACGCAGGAACCGCCCCCAAGACTCGCTCCCGCCTGCATGTACGCAGGAACCGCCCCAAGACTCGCTCCCGCCTGCATGTACGCAGGAACCGCCCCAAGACTCGCTCCCGCCTGCATGTACGCCCCAGACTCGCTCCCGCCTGCAACGCGGAACCGCCCCGAGACTCGCTCCCGCCTGCATGTACGCGGGAACCGCCCCGAGACTCGCTCCCGCCTGCATGTACGCAGGAACCGCCCCGAGACTCGCTCCCCCGCCTGCATGTACGCGGGAACCGCCCCGAGACTCGCTCCCGCCTGCATGTACGCGGGAACCGCCCCGAGACTCGCTCCCGCCTGCATGTACGCAGGAACCGCCCCAAGACTCGCTCCCGCCTGCATGTACGCAGGAACCGCCCCGACCGCTCCCGCCCCGGGAACCGACCCGAGACTCGCTCCCGCCTGCATGTACGCAGGGAACCGCCCCGAGGCTCCCGCCTGCAACCGCCCCCCGAGACTCGCTCCCGCCTGCATGTACGCAGGAACCGCCCCGAGACTCGCTCCCGCCTGCATGTACGCGGGAACCGCCCCAAGACTCGCTCCCGCCTGCATGTACGCGGGAACCGCCCCAAGACTCGCTCCCGCCTGCATGTACGCGGAACCGCCCCGAAGACTCGCTCCCGCATGTACGCGGGAACCGCCCCAAGACTCGCTATGCATGTAGGGAAACCGCCCCGAAGACTCGCTCCCGCCTGCATGTACGCGGGAACCGCCCCAAGACTCGCTCCCGCCTGCATGTACGCGGGAACCGCCCCAAGACTCGCTCCCGCCTGCATGTACGCGGCATGTACGCGGGAACCGCCCCCGAGACTCGCTCCCGCCTGCATGTACGCAGGAACCGCCCCGAGACTCGCTCCCGCCTGCATGTACAGAGGAACCGCCCCGAGACTCGCTCCCGCCTGCATGTACAGAGGAACCGCCCCAAGACTCGCTCCCGCCTGCATGTACGCAGGAACGCTCTGCCGCCCCGATCGTACGCCTGCATGGAAACCGCCCCGAGACTCGCTCCCGCCTGCATGTACGTAGGAACCGCCCCGAGACTCGCTCCCGCCTGCATGTACGCGGGAACCGCCCCGAGACTCGCTCCCGCCTGCATGTACGCGGGAACCGCCCCAAGACTCGCTCCCGCCTGCATGTACGCGGGAACCACCCCGAGACTCGCTCCCGCCTGCATGCACGCGGGAACCGCCCCGAGACTCGCTCCCGCCTGCATGTACGCGGAACCGCCCCGAGACTCGCTCCCGCCTGCATGTACCGCAGGAACCGCCCCGAGACTCGCTCCCGCCTGCATGTACGCGGGAACCGCCCCGAGACTCGCTCCCGCCTGCATGTACGCGGGAACCGCCCTCCCGCCTGCAGCGGGACCGCGCTCCCGCCCCTGCATGTACGCCCCGAGGAACCGCCCCCGAGACTCGCTCCCGCCTGCATGTACGCGGGAACCGCCCCGAGACTCGCTCCCGCCTGCATGTACGCGGGAACCGCCCCGAGACTCGCTCCCGCCTGCATGTACGCAGGAACCGCCCCGAGACTCGCTCCCGCCTGCATGTACGCGGGAACCGCCCCGAGACTCGCTCCCGCCTGCATGTACGCAGGAACCGCCCCGAGACTCGCTCCCGCCTGCATGTACGCGGGAACCGCCCCGAGACTCGCTCCCGCCTCATGTACGCGGAACCGCCCCGAGACTCGCTCCCGCTCCTGCATGTACTCGGGAACCGCCCCAAGACTCGCTCCCGCTCTGCATGTACGCGGGAACCGCCCCAAGACTCGCTCCCGCCTGCATGTACGCGGGAACCGCCCCAAGACTCGCTCCCGCCTGCATGTACAGAGGAACCACCCCAAGACTCGCTCCCGCCTGCATGTACGCAGGAACCGCCCCGAGACTCGATCATCAGCGAGCTCACAGATAGAACATTGCAAGCAAAAACCCATCACTGGCTGGCAGGGCTTGCTGGTTCTTGTAGTCCACCAACAGCTGGAGGATTCTGGTCATTATCATCATTCCGGGAGAGCGTTCACCTGCCAGAAGTACATTCATCCAAATGTTCCCACAAGAACTGGACGCTGAATACAAATGAAGGTTTCTTACCCCCCCCCAGTCTCAAATCACCCTAAAAAAACACACCTTAGGGCCCGTTCACACTAGGGCGACTCACATGTGTCAGTATGAGGTAGTGCCGTTCATCTGAATGCCACCCCAAAGCACCTGACCTTCCTGGAATGGGGTGACAACTGCCTCCAATGGTGCTCTAGCGTTGTCACTTATCACCCATGGACTACAAGCGGCCATGCCGGCACACACGGTATGTTACAGCCAATATGAGATTTTGGTATCTGGGATTACTTCCACTTTAAGGGGAAGGAAATCATTGCTACGTGTCAGCATCTGCAGAGCACTTGTGACACCATCAGATCTTCACCTTAATGAATCTTCACACGCAGGTTAACGACCCAGACGAGTTCTGTAGTTAATTAGAAGGAGAGGCAATTATGCAGCAGTCTCTGTCTAATGGGCTCTGTAGTTTTCTGTTAGAGCATCAGAAGAAAAGTGTGTTTTTTTATCCTGGAGGACTCGCAATGTCGTGTTCAGGCAGAAGATGAGGTGGAGTCTAGGAAGAGATCAGACAAAGTGGATCCCACCAAACCAAACACCAGAGACAGGACTCCAAGTTCTCCGAAACTCAAACACCAAAGACATGTCTTCATGTTCTCTGAAAAACAAACACCAAGGGCACATCTCCATGTTCTCTGAAGAACAAATCATAACACCAAGTACAAGTCTCTATGTTCTCAGAAACCAAAACTCAGACACCAAGGACAAGTCTCCATGTTCTCTGAGACCCAAACCCAGACACCAAGGCCACATCTGATGTTCTTCGAAAGCCAAACACCAAAGACACATCTCCATGTTCTCTGAAGAACAAACCCAAGCATCAAGGACACATCTCCATGTTCTCTGAAGAACAAATCATAACACCAAGTACAAGTCTCTATGTTCTCAGAAACCCAAACTCAGACACCAAGGCCACATCTGATGTTCTTCGAAAGCCAAACACCAAAGACACATCTCCATGTTCTCTGAAGAACAAATCCAAACACCAAGTACAAGTCTCTATGTTCTCAGAAACCCAAACTCAGACACCAAGGACACGTCTCCATGTTCTCTGAGACCCAAACCCAGACACCAAGGCCACATCTGATGTTCTTCGAAAGCCAAACACCAAAGACACATCTCCATGTTCTCCAAAACCCAAACATCAAGGACACATCTCCATGTTCTCCAAAACCCAAACATCAAGGACACATCGCCATGTTCTTTGAAGCCCAAAAATCAAAGACATGTCTCTATGTTCTCTGAAACCCAAACACCAAGGACATGTCTTCATGCCCTCTGAAGCCTAATCTCAAACACCAAGGACATGTTTCCATGTTCTCTGAAACCCAAACACCAAGGACATGTCTCCAATTATATTCTCTGAAACCCAATTCCAAACACCAAGGACATATCTCCATGTTCTCTCACACCCAAACACCAATAACAAGTCTTCATGTTCTCTTAAATCCAAACACCAAAGACATGTTTCCATGTTTCTCCAAAACTCAAACCCAAACACCAAAGACACGCCTCAATGTTCTCCAAAACCCAAATACCAAAGACACACCTCAATGTTCTCCAAAACCCAAATACCAAAGACACATCTCCATGTTCTCTGAAACACAAATTCAAAAACCATAGACATGTCTTCATGTTCTCCGAAATCCAAACTCAAACACCAAGCACAGGTCCCCATATTCTTCCAAAACCCAAAGACATGCCTCAATGTTCTCCGAAACCCAAAAACCGAACACTCTCCCTACTCTCCGAAACCCAAACACCAAGGACACGTCTGATGTTCTCCAAAACCCAGACACCAATTTCCATGTTCTCTGAAACCCAAAATACCAAGAACACATCTTGTTTTCCAAAGCCCGAACATCAGGGTCATGTCTCCGTATTCTAGGAAAACTCAACTTGCTTTTTTTTTTTTTGGCAAAGTATTACCAGATCTCCAGTACCCAGACAAGCACCCAACCCCCATCCTAGACAAGATCCTACTGATCAAGATTTGCCTCCCCATAGACTTCAATGTAATTTGCCACTAGGTTAGAAACCAGCAAAAATTCCAACAGGATTCGCCGACCCCCCTGGCAACTGAACCGGCAGGGATTCACTCATCAGGACTCATGTAGCTCCGTCATCTCCCGTGGCGTTGTACAAGTGTTCAAGGTGAGTAGAAGGGTGATACTCCAATGAGGATGAAGAGGATCCATCTGTACAGAAAGCAGATACAAAGCCATGCAGATCTAATAGGAGTGCTCTCTGCGTTCTCTACACTTCCATCCACCTACAGAATGTTTATTGATATCTGCGGAGTTAAAAAGATGAAATCTGCGAATGTTTTATTAACGTGGCGGAGGGAACGCGGCGAGCAGAAGCACTCATCGCTTTTTAAGGCGCTCTTTCAGTGTCCCGACTCGCACAGACAATCATCCTTAATTCATAAGATGCTTTTAGTGATCTGCGCTCTCGGCTTTTAGGGTTTCTTTCTCCGCTCTCGGCTTTTCGGGTTTCTCCTCTTCCATCTCGTACCTGCGTCCTTCCACACGGCGACTGGCAGATATATTCCTCCAAAGGCGGAGCCTGCGGTAAAGAAAATACATGTAGCCGCGTGATCAGTGCTCCATCATTGGTGTCAGTGGGAGGAATAGTGTCCCATCATTGGTGTCAGTGGGAGGAATAGTGCCCCATCATTGGTGTCAGTGGGAGGAATAGTGCCCCATCATTGGTGTCAGTGGGAGGAATAGTGCCCCATCATTGGTGTCAGTGGGGGAATAGTGCCCCATCATTGGTGTCAGTGGGAGGAATAGTGCCCCATCATTGGTGTCAGTGGGAGGAATAGTGGGAGTGGGAGGAATAGTGCCCCATCATTGGTGTCAGTGGGAGGAATAGTGCCCCATCATTTGGTGTCAGTGGGAGGAATAGCGCCCCATCATTGGTGTCAGTGGGAGGAATAGTGCCCCATCATTGGTGTCAGTGGGGGGAATAGTGCCCCATCATTGGTGTCAGTGGGGGAATAGTGCCCCATCATTGGTGTCAGTGGGAGGAATAGTGCCCCATCATTGGTGTCAGTGGGGGGAATAGTGCCCCCATCATTGGTGTCAGTGGGGGGAATAGTGTCCATCATTGGTGTCAGTGGGAGGAATAGTGCCCCATCATTGGTGTCAGTGGGGGGGAATAGTGCCCATCATTGGTGTCAGTGGGAGGAATAGTGCCCCATCATTGGTGTCAGTGGGAGGAATAGTGCCCCATCATTGGTGTCAGTGGGAGGAATAGTGCCCCATCATTGGTGTCAGTGGGAGGAATAGTGCCCCATCATTGGTGTCAGTGGGGGAATAGTGCCCATCATTGGTTGTCAGTGGGAGGATATATTGCCCCATTCATTGGTGTCAGTGGGAGGAATAGTGCCCCATCATTGGTGTCAGCTCTGGTCAATAGTCCTCCATCTCTGGCGGTCGGCTCTCTGTCCTCGCTCTGGCGGTCGGCGCTCTGTCCTCGCTCTGGCGGTCGGCGCTCTGTCCTCGCTCTGGCGGTCGGCGCTCTGTCCTCGCTCTGGCGGTCGGCGCGGTGGCCTCGCTCTGGCGGTCGGCTCTCTGTCCTCGCTCTGGCGGTCGGCTCTCTGTCCTCGCTCTGGCGGTCGGCTCTCTGTCCTCGCTCTGGCGGTCGGCGCTCTGTCCCATCGCTCTGGCGGTCGGCGCTCTGTCCTCGCTCTGGCGGTCGGCTCTCTGTCCTCGCTCTGGCGGTCGGCGCTCTGTCCTCGCTCTGGCGGTCGGCGCGGTGGCCTCGCTCTGGCGGTCGGCTCTCTGTCCTCGCTCTGGCGGTCGGCGCGGTGTCCTCGCTCTGGCGGTCGGCGCGCTGTCCTCGCTCTCTGGCGGTCGGAGCGCTGTCCTCGCTCTGGCGGTCGGAGCGCTGTCCTCGCTCTGGCGGTCGGCGCTCTGTCCTCGCTCTGGCGGTCGGCGCTCTGTCCTCGCTCTGGCGGTCGGCGCTCTGTCCTCGCTCTGGCGGTCGGCGCGGTGTCCTCGCTCTGGCGGTCGGCGCGGTGTCCTCGCTCTGGCGGTCGGCGCTCTGTCCTCGCTCTGGCGGTCGGCGCTCTGTCCTCGCTCTGGCGGTCGGCGCTCTGTCCTCGCTCTGGCGGTCGGTGCGGTGTCCTCGCTCTGGCGGTCGGTGCGGTGTCCTCGCTCTGGCGGTCGGCGCTCTGTCCTCGCTCTGGCGGTCGGAGCTCTGTCCTCGCTCTGGCGGTCGGCGCTCTGTCCTCGCTCTGGCGGTCGGCGCTCTGTCCTCGCTCTGGCGGTCGGCGCGGTGTCCTCGCTCTGGCGGTCGGCGCGGTGTCCTCGCTCTGGCGGTCGGCGCGGTGTCCTCGCTCTGGCGGTCGGCGCGGTGTCCTCGCTCTGGGGTCGGTCGGCGCTCTGTCCTCGCTCTGGCGGTCGGCGCTCTGTCCTCGCTCTGGCGGTCGGCGCTCTGTCCTCGCTCTGGCGGTCGGTGCGGTGTCCTCGCTCTGGCGGTCGGTGCGGTGTCCTCGCTCTGGCGGTCGGCGCTCTGTCCTCGCTCTGGCGGTCGGAGCTCTGTCCTCGCTCTGGCGGTCGGCGCTCTGTCCTCGCTCTGGCGGTCGGCGCTCTGTCCTCGCTCTGGCGGTCGGAATGTCCTCGCTCTGGCGGTCGGCGCGGTGTCCTCGCTCTGGCGGTCGGCGCGGGTGTCCTCGCTCTGGCGGTCGGCGCGGTGTCCTCGCTCTGGCGGTCGGCGCTCTGTCCTCGCTCTGGCGGTCGGCGCTCTGTCCTCGCTCTGGCGGTCGGCGCTCTGTCCTCGCTCTGGCGG